CTGATAGATGGTTGATGCACTAGTGCACCAGGTCACAGGCAAGAATTTGCGTAGCAAGGAACTCCCCTACTGATAAAAACAAGGGCCATGACATTTACAGGACTGAAAAGCAAATATTCCTCATGCCTCCAGCTGTTTGACAAATGACCTGTCATTATTCCTGAGAGCCCAATATATAGCCATTTAGCACTTCTGGAAGGTGATTATGGAATAGTAACTAATTGGTAGATAATCAAGGGGTAGGATACAGGCACAAGTTTGCATGCAGGTATGTATACACATACACGTGCATGGACATGACTTAATGGTAATGACCAGAGAGAACTTGTGAATAATCCTAAATACCTTCAAATGTACCAGCAAGCCTACTGTTTATCCTTGGGGGAAGGAAAAAAAAAAAAGGAATTAAAAAAGCAAAGAACAATTTTGGAGCATATCTGCTTTCACCAGCATACTGTTTTCTTTTTCCTTTGCCTATGAAATCAGGTTACCTTAGTTACCATGAGCATTCAGGGCTCAGAGTCACAGAAAGGTTAGTAATCAATCTTCTCCAAACCATTCAAACATTCCTTAGAGATCAGCGTCAGTTTTAAGGTCCACTGTCTTACTACCTGGCAGGGTTAGAAACGACCACTTCAGACAGTGCTGTTCCAGACAGCCTACGCACAAGACTCTCCAGCAGGACAAGGCTTTCTGCCCTATTGCAAAGAAAGTGCATTCTTTCAGAAACAATGTCATTTCACTCCTTGCCCTTCCCTGAACCACATTCACAGGAAGAAAAAAAAAATTAAAAAAAAAATCTCAGCAACACTTTGTTTTTTTATATTTCTGCAACACAAAAATTCAGAGATTTGGGATAACAGAAGAAGCTTCCAGCTGGGGCAAATTGGTGGGAGAAGTGGCCAGGCAATAATAAAAAGCCAGATGAAGGGCAACTTGACCCATGGTTCCTGCAGATTCCATGACTACAGAAACATAAATGCCTTCCTCACTAGCCATTAAGAACTTCTACAGGGGGCATACACCCGAGTTTTCATACTTAAAAGGAAAAAGCATACTGTAATAAAGTCACATCAGACCGAGACTGGGTCAAGTGCAGAGTTCATCAGTGACAAGACCAGGAGCAGCTTAAGTAGGTCCTCCCTGACAAAAACAACCTATTACGCAAAGTACCGTGAACTCTGCACGTGCCACATGCTACAGGAAAGGGACCTCAACACTGCTCCGTTGACTAGGTACTAGTCTTCATATTCCTCACTCACATCTTTCAGGCAGCGTCACATACACAGAGCCTGCTCGTACAGCACTGAGACGAACACAACCACAATCAGACTAAATGGGCATCCAGAATTAGAGCTGAGTGCTCCATCAGGAAATTGGGAGAGAAACCTCTTTGCTGTTGCTAAATCCCCTGCCTTTTCTAGCCCTGCAAGATCATAGGAAAACACCAAAGATGGGGCATATCTAGCACCAAAAAGGGACCCATGCCAAGCCACACAAGGGAAAAACTAACCTTTCTGGTAGGGCAGAGGTCATAATGCTTTCTTTCTTAAAGGTACACTTAAAAAAAAAAAAGTTTTAACTTAAAAATTTCTAAAGTGGGGACATCATAGGACTGAATTTTAGGAAGATGGGTCACTAGGCAAAGGTCAGGAGATACAACCAGAATTCAGGCTAATATGATCCATCACATAGAAAACTCCACATACACATTATGTGGGTTTTGTGCATGTTACACATAAAACAAAACACCACTATGGAGGTATAATCTACATGATTGACGCTACAGTGTTTGCAGAAATCTTTTATAATTTACAAAGCTTCATTTGAGTAGCTCTGGAATACAGTTTATTAATTCCGGGTATTTTCAAAGGCAGTTTTCCATAAATGCTTCATAGAATTACTTATCTTCAGAGACTGCCAATTTCCAAGCCTGTAAAGATTGATCGTGCTATCTAACTCTGATATTCCTTCTTTTACCATTCTGTTCTGTTAGCAAGGGCATATTCTTTCTCACTGCAACAAAAGAAAAAACAGAAAAACACACACTGTTGCAACATTATACTATTGATGGCATTCCCATCAGAGATCACCAATATTCATCAGAAAATACCATATTTACTCCTGTAAGAGGCCCCAAAACAAAAGTAGCAGATTGCAAGCTCATCTATAGCAAGCAACAGGTGACTACACTTTCAGACCTTGCAGGTACACTGGCTGCACATTAGCTTTGGACAGCAGAATACAATGAGAAGGTGAAGATGCAAGAGGAAATGCAACCACCAGGTGAGCAAATACTAAGTTCTTTTTAAACCTTTTCTACAGAACTGGAATAGGTTACATCTTCCACGCAAAGAAAAATTTCCTCAGTCAAGAAAAATTGAGAGACAAGAGCGCACACACATCATACTGGACGATGTTAATGGGAAGTGCATAAATCCACTGGCAAAAGATGGCAAAGGGCTGTCTTCAAAGAAAGCATGTTCCCAAGAGGTGACTTTGAAGGCAACTTCAAGACTCACTTCACTGAGATCTGTGCATGGGGAAAGGTTGGTACTCAACTGGTCCAAGCCCAGGGCCCAGTCTAGGTGTGCTCTGCCATGACAAATGAGTTCCAGCTGTTCTTGCCAGAAGGCTTCTTGGCTAAATAATCCTCATCTAGGCAACAGCACAGTATCTGTGTAGGCACACATGTTCTCTGGCTTAAAAACTCACTTCTGAAGGACAACAAAAGTCACTGAAGACCAAAACCAACATTTGCTGGGTTTGTCTTCTGTTTGTTTTGTTTTGCTTTTTAACTAAGAATTATGTTCACAGGTTGTTTGCAAAAATCTAATTTCACAGCTTTTATTCCCAGGAACCAGACAAGATGAGAGCCTTAGCTGACTGACAGCCATCTTGTCATCTCCGAAACACCTGTCCTGTGGGTCTGAGGGCAGGGGGGAAAGTGAATCCCATCATACAATCTTTCTCTCTCTCTCCCTTCAAATAATACATAAATTAAAAGGCAGCTTTAGTCTGCGTTACCAGTGTGACCAAGACCAAAAAACAATTACAGAGACAGATGAGGCTGCATATTCAGACTAACAGTTACACAAACATTTTCTAAACTAGAATAAAACCAAATTACCTTATGAAGAAAATAATCTACACTGAGGCCCATAAAACACACACACAGACACACACACACTGTTTTGGCATTAAAACTCTGCATAGATCAAAGATGCACTTCAGTTATCAGAGCCCCCAGTGTACAGAAGTCCTGCAGAAATCCAGCCTCCAGCCATGGGACCAGGCGCCAGGGCACAGCACTCCTCCACTGCGCCCTCAGGGCACTCAGCGGCTGCTGCCCGAAACCAAGCACAAGGCTTAAGAACATAGAAAGTGAAAGATCTTAAAGTGAAAAGGTCTATGACACACTCATACACATATGTATTAGAAACTATTCAAGCTAAGACTCTAAAGGTTCTTACTTTAAGTCCATTTCCGAAATGCATTTTAAGTGCAAGTTGTGCTTTTTCATGTGCTTGTGATGCCACTATCACCATTTGTTAACTGCCTTCCAGTGCTGCACGTGCTTCCACGCAGAGACAGCCAGGGAAGAAATACCCCACATGCCACTTTACAGGCAGGTAACATTTTCCAACTACTCTTAAGACCAGCATGGCAAAACTAGGGCTTACAGACACTTAGTTAATATGCGAGTCATCTTTACCCATGAGTGTAGTCCTGCTGGCGTCAGCTAGATGACATACATGGAGGAGGGTTTCTGCAACAGGGCCCAGAGCAAAATGGTTTGCAGTGAGAATAACTGGTGCTCCCACGTCACTGCTAGGGATGCCGCAGAAGCCAGCACCACCGTCATGAGCGCTCTCGGTACTGCTGCAGAAACTGCACGGGGCGGTTATAGCTACAAAGGCCCCTTCACTTCAACAGGATGGATCTCCAGGACTGAACTTCAGTATCTAAAGGATGAAATGGAGAGTGAAAAGCACAACAGTGTCTCACGTATTTTAACAGCATTGCAGGGGAAAAAAACCCACCTTGCATTTTTAAACAATTTATTGCATAATGTCATGATATGTGACTAAATACATTTCAGGCTACAGTGAGGACAAAAATCTCTAGAACTGTAAGTACTGGCAATACTGTATTATGAAAAGCAAAAGAATGGCAGCACTTAGTTAGAGTCAATACAAATTAACACATCTGGGATTTTGTTTTGCCGTTTACAAAACAAATAGTCTACGCTGCAAAATAGCTAAACCCTAAGTGATGGAAAATGCTGGGATTTCCTATTTGCCTTCTTCCACCCAAAAGTCTCCAAGACACTTCACTGATGCACTGTTATTTGAATGCAAGTTATTGCAAAGACAAGTGTCCCTGTATTTCTTGATTTGTAGAAGTCAAGAGATGTTAGGCTAAGTCCTGTCCCCTTTTTCTAGCAAACCCAGGGGAAGGGGGGCAAACTCCTCCAGATTACTTCTGGGGCTCTATCATTATTCCACAGGTGAAAAGACAACATATAGAAGAACTTCACATAAAACAGTTCCCTCATATATATTTTTTTAAAACATTAAGATAGTGCAACTTTTTAAAACACATTTATCACAACACAAATTAACTCCTTGCATTCATCTAAGTTCTCAACTTTATACCTTGGCACACAAAACAGGAATTTTGTTTCATATTAAAAAAAAAAAATCCACACCCTGGGAGAAAAAAAAAAAAAAACAAACTGGCCAATTCTTCCCCCGTTTATGTAGCAAAACCACCTTCTTCCTTCTGCCATTCAGTGAGTACAAAACAGGCTGTACAAGCCTCATTTCTGTGCTAAGTTCACTTTTAGAATTAAATAATTGAAATAGTTTATTAAAAAAAAATAATATATCCCCCCCCCTTTCCTGAAACACTGCTCGTAGACAAACTGAATGGAAGTTTGTATTTCTTTCAATCTGCTTTGCATGCAGTTCCCCTGAAAGGAATCAGAAACAAAGAACTGGTTTGCACGTTTGGTTTTACTAAGTTGTAGAACGTGAAACGTAACAGCATTGTGCACCAGAGCATGGGGGTCCTCCTCCACCGCCCTGCTTGATTCTCTTGTCTTCAGTTCAAATGCGCCTGGGAGAGTAACTTAGACCAGGTTTCCCGGTTTCCGGTCTTGGCCTTTGCTGGGGACTATTGTGCTCTCTGCATTGTTCTGCTGAAACTGAAGTCTGCTCCCCCTCTGCGAGGAAGGAGGCACGTTGCTGTGCTGGTGGTGGAAAAAAGAGGAGCCTGGGTAATGCCCCATGACCTCACTGTACGTCGGGGGCGGCCCTTCCATCCTTCCGTTACTGCTATAGTTGGTTGCACTTATGCCCGAATTGCTGCTTGGTGGGCAGGGGCCCCCATTGTACATCGAGATGTCTATCAAGTCGCTATCGAAAATGGTTCGGTTGGGCGGTGCCCTGACGGATTCCCGGTTGAGCTCCATCTGCTGTTCTGGGTCCCGGAGCTGCAGGGTGCACGGGCCTTGGTACGGCGGTGGCTCTTCCCCGTCAGAGAGGGAGATGGTCGGAGGAAGGTCAATCTCATGCTGCATGTAAGGGTAAGTGGGCTGGAAGCGACTGAAACGGTCCCGCTGCATAAAAGATGGGGTGGTAAACCTGTCCCTGGACCTTGGAGCATACATGATCTGAAACGGGAAGAGACACACACGTGACTCCACATCTGAGCAAAGCACTGTGGGTGCTCCATATTTAGGAAGAACTGATAAAAGGCAAAATGCTTCTCTTTGCCACCTATCTTTGGGATTAAACCCAGCAGATATTGTGCACATGTGTTCTCACACACGTGCATATGGAAAGAAGAGGTAGGAGTTGCAGGGAGGATCTAACACAAGACACTTGAGAACAGCTTCTCGAAGGAAGACCAAGACCCCACACAGCTCCTTCTGACATTAAAACATGCACAGCCAGGAGAAAATGATGCTGTTTCTGAACATAGGAAATGCATTCTCTCTAGTCTTGACAATTGAGTAGTTCTACGAAAATGTCCCAATACTGACTTTCAGCTGCAGTCTGAGCCTCCCCCTCCTACTCAGGGTTCATGTAACACCCTGCATCACCGAAGAATTCAGATGGTCATTTTAGTACATTTTGTAAAGGCCTGGCATATCTCACGCCTTCACTACCAGAGTGTATCAGGTGTCCTCCTCCCCCTCAGTTCTCCACCAGAACTCAGCCTCTGGGGAGGACCTGCAAGGCTTCTACACTGTGAGTGGAAAAAATGTCCCTGGTGTATTAAGCCCTGGAGAAGGTCAGGCTTTACAAAAGGAAGACTTCAAGATACTCTGTGAGGAGCTATTTCTCCTCACTTGGTCTATCCCAGATCTAGACAGACACTTCAGCTCCTCAGATCTAGATTTAACAAACTGCTCTTCTCATTTTTGGGTCCATGCAGGGTCTTTAGCCCCTAATCCTCATAGATGCAGGACCAACCACCAGGAAGGTTTGCTGTTTGTCACAGAAAAGCTGAACCACTCAGAGCAATACACTCACAAATTATCACATAGACCGGGGATCTGTGCTAGCTGGAAGATGAGAGACACTCGTGATAGGATATGTTTTGTAAATCCAAGAAAAACTTGGACAAGAACAACTGGTCTCCCAGCTTACACTGAATACTCAAATTACTGAGCCACTGCATGAGTGAGACACACCTCCACCACTTACCTGTGAATGCCTACTACCATACAGGGAGCTGCTGATGGAGATGAGGTGTCAGGTAGGCAGAATTTCCTTCTTTTAATGAAAAAGCCTTAGGCATTTATGGAATGAGAGTTAAGGCAGGCTCAGATGTCCACATGAAACTGGCTCTTGGTCTACACCGGAAAAGCTTTATTTACTAAATAGATGCATGTTTTTGAAAAGAGCCAAATACACATTACAGGGAAGAGGAAAGCACATTGGTGAAGATAATAAAAAATCTGTACCTCTGAAGCACCCTGGCGCGAAACCGAGCTTTCTGAAGGCCACAAGCACCCTTCCTGGAATGTAGAAGAAAACAACAAAAGAGGAAAAATTAATAGATCACATTGCCCTCGTGCCTCAATACCACAACTCTTACAAGCAGTCAGCTTCTAAGGACTGGCTGTCTCCACCTAAGGAGAGGTGATAAACAAGTAACATTCCACCTCTTTCTTTCCAAAACCAGAGCAAACAGCAGCTCTGCACACAAGCAAGTCAAGCTTGGTCTGTTTTGCAAGTCCATTTGGAGACGCCATCCATAGCACCCAGCCTCACAGGGCCTGAGGACCCAGCGAGCCAGTCGCAGCTGCAAGCACGTGGCAACATGCAGAGATGATAGGAGACACCAGCACTTGCATGCTGAACGAGGTAATGTCAGCAGGTCCGATGAAGCTGACCTGCCAGCCAGGATCCCAATTACACACCAGAGCCAAAACAGTTTGCCACGAAACCTGGCATCTGTAATCTCAGTGAAGTAGCAGTCACTCTAAACCCAGGTAATATTCTGGTCAAAACTGTCAGTTGCCCAATTCCCACCATAAACAGTAATTAAGCAGCTGAGGTTTCAGCCACCAGTTCCCCCCTTCAACCACTTCCCCAGCCACCTTCTCAGGCCAAAATATTTTCTCTCTCATGCCTTGAAGGGCTGTTCTGATACTGTACCAGCACTCAGGGCAGAATAAAAGGGTGAAGAACAACACATCAATAAGGGAAAACAGCTCAAGATGTATCATTATTTTTCTTCTCAATTAATCATTTAGAGTAGCAGTAACTACCACAATGGATTTATTTTACTGGAAAATTTTGAAGCTGACAAGGACACATCAGGGCAGCTATAAAGCACAGAATTTCAGTCTTGGTGCAAAAAAAGAAAATCAAAACATTGTATGGTCATGACTATTTTCTTGGTGCTAATTCAAGCTTCATGATTTTATAGACATAAGAAATCTCAGGAACAGGAAGAAAAATGCATCCTGTCCCCAAAAGCATTACCCTGTATAGACTACTTTCAAATCTTACTGTACTGCTTCTTCTCACCATAGCATCTTTCAACATATTTCAGATGTAAAAATAGACCTAACTAGATGTTCATCATGACACTCAGAGACCAAAAGCCGTCTGTGATCTTGTCAGGAGAGTCCACCGCAGAGGAAAGCTGCTCTAAGAGGAATCTCCCACAGGATTCAGCTGTTAAGGGAAATGCTTTGAGTAACAAAGCTGGTCAATCACTTCTCTTCTGTAGCTTTATAGAGCTGAGATAGAGGGAGGCTGACAATTGCCATTATTCACAACTTCCCTTTGCAAGTATCCCCATTTGCAAAGGCCTGATATCAAAGACAAATATTACCTAGATTCATGTATTTCAGTGCCTATACGACGTTTTGTCAATAGACTAAATTGTACCTGTATACTTACATGTATATGCATACTTGTACCCACCTTCGTTTCCACCCCTCCATCACCCAGATGCCCTCGTTTTGAAATATCTGAGGGTATATTTGCACAATTAAATATAATCAGATTATCAGCAGCTGACCCAGCAGGCTCCAAGCCTGTTGCAATTGTTAAGTAAAACATATTAGTCAGAACTAAAGGGCTCAATTAACTGCTCATGAACTACAGGCCATACACAGCCCAACAGCAGATTCCCAAGTGATGGTTTCAATAATACGATAGTGGGTAGCTTTATATTTAGTGCAACTGTCTCAGTCTCACCTTTAATGAGTTCAGGCTCAGAAGAGAGGAAAAAAGGCAAAACCAATAACCTAACCCAGAAAGGAATTCAATCTACCACCACCACTCATGTTACTTAAAACTCCCTTATGAAAGAGAGTTTTTGATGTGGAAGTGGAAACGACAATTCCCATCCTAGGGTTCATCTCCCCTAGGGCAGCAGAGTAAGAAGAGCCGAGGGAGATAATGCAGCATGTGGAGAAAAACTCCTTGTGCCAAGATGGAGCAGGACCTGCATGCTGAGCCTCGGCACACAGACCTGGTACCAGCGATGCCTAACAAACAACTTGCTAGAAGAGTGGAGCTGCCCGTTACTTCTACTGCTGATGCCTGAATCCCGGTACAGTAGAAGATCCTCCCTGGAGGCACTGCAGCTGCTACAGGGACCCCACAGAATGCCACCAGGGTGCTGGGATAGTCGGACCAAGACAATGAGACCAAGGGAGCTCAAGGCTCTCCTCACTCCGGGCTAACTACTCAAGGAGGTAGACAGCTTGGGACATATGACAGCTTGGGATGTAGCTGAACTCCAAAGCTGCGAGATCCTTACGATGCAAGGATGTGCAACAACATGGCCTCTGTGACAGTGTGTCCTACAGCCCACCTGTAGCTACTCCCTTCCCTACGGTTTCTTCTGGAGAGAGCAGCAGGCTGAATAAATCCTTTGGCAGCAGCCAACCCCCAGTAAGAGCTCTATCCCAGGAGCCAGAGGAACTCCCCAAGCAGATGGCTGGGTAGCATGTGCGCAGCACGCCCACGCTTGGAAAATACCAGGCTCACACACCACATGCAGACCAACCTCACCACACATACGTGGTTGGTCCAGTGCCACAGTACAGTACAGGATTGTCTCACCACCACTAGAAAAAGCCCAGACTAACTGGCCCAATGTAGGAAAAGGCACTGCACTCTTACTTATCGTACGGATAAGTCTTAAAATGGACAGCGAGAGAGGCAAGGAGAAAGGGAAGGAGCTAGCATGCAACTGGCTTTCCTGCACTCAGCTATTGCAGAATCCCTGAATCCTTCTAGGACATGAACTTATTGTACAGTGACCTGCAATGACAAAAACAAACATGTAGAGGGGCTTCCTAAACTTTAAGCGGAGAGCAGTATGACAATATGGGAAGAAGAATACAGAGAGGAGGAAAAGAAAGAGAGGAAGAGACAATGGACAGCATGCCAGTGCTTAATTATGAATGGCTCTATGGGGTTTATATTTATACATATTTGAGGAATACAACAGAACAGGGAAATAATTTACGCTTAATATCACACACTATACACCTCTTACCCTTTTACATAGCATGTATTTCATTGGGTGCCTCTGAGCCAGACTCTAGCTCACCACTGAGCTGTGCAGCTCCCACTTCAGGGCTGACCTGGGAACTGCCAGCTTGGAGCAAAGGCAGACTCTGCTCAGGTCTGTCTGCAACCAGTTACTTAGACGTGCCCTTCTGCTAACACTCCAAGGCTAAGAGAAAAGTTAGGAGATTAATAAAAAATTAACACACCGAAGTGCTTTGCTGAATCTTGCCCTGAAATGCCATAAGGGTTTTCTGCACTTTGCCTTCTACAGATAAACCCCATCTCCTCTACAGAAGGTGGCATCTGTCTGGAACAAAAGAACTGCAGGTGCCTGCCCCATCTTCCCAATTTTGGCCTTTTCAGTCATTCCGCCTTCCTGAAATCACTGCATCCACCACAGGAGACTTACTATCTACCTTTCTCAAGTCTTCATATCAGGAAAATCCTCCCCTCCCCTGCACTGGGTAGATACAAGCTAACCACGTGTTGGTGCCCACCTACCCCACTGTTGTTGGGGTGATGGCAAAGGGTTGAGAGAAGAAAAAAAGGAAAAACCTCAGTGTTGCAGAAGGAAAATATCCCCAGGACTTTTTTTTTTACGCCCCAAGCTGTAGATGTAAGAAATAACGCGCCGGGACTGCCGTGAACAATCTGGGGTGACTTACACTGAGGGAAAGTTATTTCTTGCTCTCTCCTTGTCCCTCTACTACAGACCTTCATCTGACAGCTAAAATGTTTCCCTGTGCTCAGATCAGTAACAATCAGGTAAGAAGCGACAGCATTTGTATGTATATTCCCTCATATTGTTTCTCTCTTTATCATTCAAAATACCAAGGTAGAACGGCCTAATGACAAACTACTTTTGACTTCTTTTCACTCAGTGACTTCTCATCCTGTGAGCAAGACAAAATCAGGCACAGGCAATACGGCTCGGCACGACGGCTAACCAGCCGCCAGGCCTGGCGTGAGCTCGCAGCCCCAGCACCGCGCTGCCTGGCACTGTGCCGACAGGCACTTCCCAGCTAGCGAATCCGGCGCTGGCAGTCCCGCTCGATGCCCCCTCACACTGAATGCCCGTGGATTTGTACAAGTAGTTCTCTGGTATGTGCAATCAAGGCTAAACCTGAGCAAATGCAATCTACCCATTTTTTTTCTGTGGGCAGTGTACCATTTACCTGCTTCTTATAGGTTCTCAATAGCTAGCCACCTCAACTTGTTCCTTCTTAAAGAGACTAAAGGTCTTCAGGCGTGAGCTTCAATAATTAAAAGTAACAGGGAGAGAAAGCTTATGCATTCATTCCCTACAGTGTATTCATTTTTAACTCTGTTAGGGTTTGGAATGAAAAAGGATGAGCCTCCACGGTAAATCCTAGCTCCTACAAATAACACCAAAGCAAGAAAAATCTTGGGGATCCTGCTATGTCTTTTGCTGACCTTTGCCATTCCTGAGTTTCACAATAATTGACAGAAATGAAATTTGCGATTAGGTTTTGGAATAACAGCATCATTTAATAAATCCAGCTGGGTGACTACTTAATTATCTTACAGTGATGATTATTTAACTCAATATTTAGAGCTTAGGAGACTGGATAAGCCTAAGATAATTTGCCTAATTTGTATTTTACAAAGGTTTACAGACTCTAGAATTAAACAGTTTAGGAAAATGACTTTTTGAGGCCATTTTTAAACACTGTGCTTCCTGGAGCATGCAGTGTCATCCAGCTACCTCAGCTGAACATCAGCACATTGACAGACAGCAGGAAAGAATTTACTGGAAGAAGAATTTTTAACTCAGAATAAATTGCAGGTAAAAATTTATGCTCAGTAAGAAAAATTCCTCAAACTGTCATGAAGCAAAAGCATCCCTGTGCTGGTTTTCGCTGGGACAGAGTTAATTTTCTTCACAGTAGTTAGTATGGGACTATGTTTTGGATTTGTGCTGAAAACAGTGTTGATAACACAGGGCTGGTTTTGTTAC